GCAAAATGCTCTCATGTTTTCTCATGATGTGCTCAAGACCACCGGCCGTTGAAATCTTCCAAAAGGTACGACGATCTTCTGTATCCTTCGCGGAACTCATGAGGCGGTCGTGAGCGTGGACCGCCTGAAAGCTGCTTTCCCGGATATTTCGCTGGACGAAGCCCGTGGTCCCCATTCCCCTGCTTCCCGACCCTCTATTCCTCCATCCCGTCTGCTAACTCTACCACCATGTCCGCTGTCATCGATGGTTACGAATCCTCATTAACTTCTAACACCCTAACCATAAGCCACTCTAGGCCTGTGACTTCTGCATACATTAGTCGCAGTGGATGCAACTTCCACTTCCCTAACCGTCTAGTTACTTAACTTATTTAGACCTGTATGTTTCCTTCGTCGTCGATTTTATGCAATCTTCGGCCTAGCTGGAGGATACTGTGGCGGTCCCAGGATCAGCGCCACTATCGCTGGCTCACCGTGCCTTCGCCCGCCAAACTTGCATTTGCGGTGACTGTCCGTCTCTCTCACATCACCGAGCCATCCGCATTGTCTGCCTCTCGGTTGGGTTTACGCCTCGCGTCGTGTAATGTGGCCCAGCGAACTTAAAGCAAATCAGTGTGCACCTTTTCCTGATTGGTTGAGACAGTAAAGCATGGGATAAACGCACACACACAATATATGGCCCTCGTACTGTAAGCAGTTCTTTTCTGTAGAGCCTTCTGTTAGCTCCTTTCTTACAGTATACTGTACAACCTAATCGGTCTTACCTGACTTCTGACCTGGGAGAACCTCCGCCATTCGACGATCACTGCTTCTACAAACCCACCGTCAGAAACAGCTACGGGAGAGTGTAGAAGGGGGCACGAGCAGCCGAGTGGGGCAGTATCCGAAGTGCGTGAGTGTGGCAATCATCGTTGCGTCGAAGAGAGTAGCCTTTTTTGTGGTTTAGCCTTGAATGTGATTGGCCAGACAGATTGGTGTCGGCCTACAAAAGCGCACATACTACCAGTCGCGCGAGGCAAGGCTTCGCCTGGATGAGATTTCTCCAAAAACAGGTACACACTTGCAATCACGTGACGTCATGCGTGGCGTGACATGGGGCAGAAAGCGCTACAGGGTCACTAGAGTCCTCTTGTTAATCGCTGGGAATCATACTATGCACGCTGATTGCTTGTCTACCCAAACTCGGGTCGTTAGCGGCCGTGATTTCCTCACTATTTCCGCTTCTGGGTGTGAGAATGTACCTCGCAGCTGCGTTGTATTCAATGTGGAAAATCACGTTATACCGCTTTCCCTGTTGCACACTTTTCAAGTTAACTCGCATTCTGTTTGAAATCTCACAATTCGCGTCGCTATGGGATTCACTTAATACATAAATGCTGTTTGTTGAAGATACGAGTAGAGAGCGTTACTCCTGGGCTTCGCCGCTTGATTTCATGGCTGTGACTGGAAAGCAACTAGAATCTGGACGTTCACCTGGCGGGAAACATACTCCCCCTCCCCATATCCCACAGAGCCCAGTAAACATCTCGAAGGAGAGGCTGAGGCTCCAATGATGATTATTAAAACCCAGCATTCAAACAAACGTTAGACTATACAGCTCACGGCTTTGGGCGGAAGATAAAGTAAATTGTCTGAATAAATTACTTTAGCGATGTAGATATGTAGGGGGTCAAAGAACTGGTTGAGCTCGGACTACTCAAATAATCAGATCGCATCGCAGGTTGTAGGTAAAAGACAAGAGTCACCGGAGGGAAGGCTTTATTGTGCACAGAACACTGCATTGCTATCTCACGCAGCAGTGGCTACTGTCGAAGACAGGGCTGAAATTGACTGCGTCCCGTCCGTCCCGAGAGTGCATAAACGCGCATACATAAACATAAACTTTCGGTACGACTAGGCGTCCAACTATTACAAGTTGCAGCTCATACCTATGGAATAGGCCATGAGTTTGTGGGATAAAGTGAATGTTGGGGTCAACAATGTGGGATACGATGTGGTCCGGCCAGATAATAGATGATAGACCGTATCCCAACATGTATAAGCTAGTTGGTAGGATAAGGCGTGAAAGGCCAGATTTTTATAGACAATTTAATGTTGTGTTGAATGAGTAAGAATATGAGCAATGGATAAGGGACTCCGAA